GGAGTCCCCAGGGGTTGGGGCCAAGCGATCCCCCCCCGGGGCATGAACCCCCGTCCGTGCTAAGCCCAGCCTGGCCCCCGGGCTCAGGGGGTAACTCCAGCCTGCAGCACTAGGAGGCTGTTACCCTGTTGTCCTCTCCAGCAGGCAGACTCCGGGGGAGGGGGGGTCACTGTCCGTCCCCGGGGGGCCACATGAGGCTTCTCTCCAGTCAGTGGGCCCCCCAGCCCCCTCGCCTAGACTCCCCCCAGCCCTCTGAGGCCATTGGCCCAGTGTCCACGGCTCTGAGTGGGGTAATGAGTGTGGGGCTCCCCCCAGAGCAGGATGGGGAGATGGGGGGGCCCCCAGGGACAGAGGGGGTGCAGGAGCTAGGCGGCAACTGGAGGGCGCTTTGGCCAAGTGTTCCCCATGGGGTGGGGGGGGCCCTGGGGTCTGGCGTCTAATTTACCCCCCCTTTCCCACCCCTGGGAGAACCAGCCTCACCCTCCTGCATAGCCCCGGAGGGCCCAGCCTGGCGGGAGGGTCTGGGGGGCTTGGGGCCCACTGGTGAGGGACGGGGTTCCCCAGGCGCACAGCCCTGAGAATGGGGCATCTGCCTGGGCCTGGTGGGAAGCGAAGGGTTAACAGGCCAGGCAGCACCATGGCCCCCACTCAGCCCCGGGGACCGGGGGTTGCTGTAGCTACCGGCCCCTGGGCCTCCCCCACCCCCGTGTTACAGGAATAAAGGTTTTCTATAAAAGGAATGCAGCATCTGTGCAGTGTTGGGGGGGGCAGGGTCATCTCCCCCCGTCACAGCCCTGGACCCCCACCCCCAGCCCTTCTCCTGGGACCGTGGGGCTAGCACCCGGCCCACATACACGTCCCCCCCGCCACACACCAACCGCCCTGATCCCAGGAAAACGAAGCCTCCCACCCCTGGAGGCCACAGGCCTCATCCCCACCTCACAGCAGGGAAACTGAGGCGCAGGGGAGGGATTTGCCAAAGGACAGTGACTCAGTAGCAGAGCCTGGAAAAGAACCCAGGAGTCCTGGCTCCCAGCCCCCCCGCTCTATTCCACCAGCCCCCCTCCCCTCCCAGAGTGAGGAGAGAACCCAGGAGTCCTGGCTCCCAGCCCCCCCTGCTCTAACCACCAGCCCCCTCCCTCCCAGAGCCGGGGAGAG